AGTTAGGTTACTTTCCTACTGCACCACCACCTTTGGTAGCAGACAACCAAGGAGGAATCTTTCTCGCAGTCAATCCTGCTCATGACCGAAGACTCAAGCACGTCGACATTCGATACCACTTCATACGCGAATACGTAGAAGAAAAACGAGTGGATATAGTCTACGTTAGTACGGACGAAATGATCGCCGACACATTGACGAAACCACTTGGTGCAACAAAATTTGAGCGTTTCCGGTCTATGCTAGGCTTGGTCTTCAGTAGATTAGGCAATAACTAGTCGAGTGGGAGTGTCAGAACTGGGCGATTACGTCATTGCCCTGTACGGACTAATGGGGATACATCACATGACCCCTGATTATGTTGTAGTAATACGGACTAGATTACTCATGCTTACTGTACACGCTTACATACAGGTAGTACCATAGGTCCCTTAGCGGTATCAGGAGTCCTGACTCTCATGTATATATACTAGCCTTGTAGCACAGAATACGACAAGAGTTCAGTCGCACTTTAACAAAATGTACCTTAGGAAGCTGAGACTACAAGGAAACATAACGGGGCGCAGAGCCGAGAGTGCTCTGCGCGGGTCATATCTAAAACGGGCATGACGGCCTAAGCGCGCCATGTCGGTATCTCTGCCGGCGCGGCTGATGCGCATCCGGCGCCTCAGATACTACAGCACGGTCCATGATAGTTATTGACTAGACTCACTTAGTCTCCCTAAGGCAGCCCTATCTAATCAGTCGATGATAACGTCGATCGACTTTGATAAGGACTCATCCAGTCGCTGTGCTCCGTGGGGACCACGGGCGTCTTAATTGCATCCCATTTGGGCGAGGGATGCAACCGTGGGACGAACCTAGTTTTTGACGTGCTTATTCTTGTCTGTCCCATCCAGTCAATAAAGGTTGAGTCTCATGTCTACAATGACGATTACGTGCCTCACGCGCGTCGCATGGAGCTCATGAATGCTATCAGAACCTTCACCTTATCAGATGACCACCCAAGCTCACTTCGGGGACCGCCGCGCATGTTCGGATGAACCAACTGGGATCCCAACGTACAGCCGCTGTGGCGCCCAGCCCCGGCTCACATCCTCAGGCCTCAAGTGAGACAACAACGATTACTACATTAGGGCCTATGAAACGGGTGTCTAACCATACCAGGCGGACTGTCTTAACCCTGTTCCATGGCGAATTTCCTCTCTTCTGACAGGTATCCCAGGTCATTGATAAATCGCGCAAGCAATGGTTCACCCACGACCCAGCTTACCTTCTCCTGTCTTCCTTGTCATGTCTGCACCGTCGGACCAGGTTATCATACAAGCCGTGTCGCAAATGTATGCAGCGCTTTGTAGTCTGAGAATCAGTGCTCTAATCTTTCAATCCCAGCATCACGAAAAACTACGCTAGCTACGCCGTTATCTGCAAGTTTACTCGTTCATTGACGTGGCGAATGATAATCATTGTACCCTAGCCCTTGCCATCTACGAGGTTGTTATCACTTTCGCCGACGAGATCCGCATCGTCTGGAAGAAGCCCATTACTGCGTCCGCTATTCTCCTCGGATCGGTACGATGGTGCATGATCCTCACAGCGAGCATCTTGCTCGTGCCGACAACTTTGAATGTGAGTCTCAAATGTCTAAATCTTCAGCTATGTGATTTGACAAACTGTACTCCCACAGGAGTATGTTGCTTGAAATCCTACGAACAGCCAAAGTTACAAACGTCTATCACACAGCTGCACACCAGATGGTATTCTGTTAACCCTATTATCCCTCGTCGGGTTCGTCCAGACTGCCCGTGAGCATTAAGCGTTTGATCGAATCTCAGGTGCCCGCTGACTTCTCACGCCAGTGTTCGCCGCCCTGCGCGTTTTTGCAATTTGCAACAGGAGCTACGTCCTGTCAATGCCTGTGTTTGCATTGAACATGATGCCATTTGCGATGAATCTGGTATGTGTAGGCTCCGCTGGAGCTCTGTGTAGCTGTGATTGGCGACTGAGCCTTGTGTGTAGGTAGTTTTTGTGAGGTCACAACACGGGAGCTCCGTGGAACCCTTCATCGGCGTGACATGCAGCCCGGAGCCACTCTTATCTGCGCAAACACTCGTCATGTATATGCACACATATTTCTGCTGCAGTTTCGGGATACTAAAGATTTGCCATACAGATGTAAGCCGCATCGTCAGAGCATTTCGATATGCTTGGGACACTAACGCCCACCTGCTCACAGTCGTGTGGACTATTCGTGGCTCACTCGTCCTTGCTGACACGATCGTGCTTGTTTCGACTTGGGTCCGGACGTTCGGACACTGGAGGCAAGCACGCCGTGCGAACGCCACGGTGTCGTTGACGGCATGCTTGCTGCGCGACGGTCAGTGCCTCTTCACGTACCATCTCACTCACCGTTGCTGAAATTTAGCTCCCCGTGCAGGAACCATCTATTTTATGTAAGTGCAACAAGAAATCCACTCGTCTAACGAGATCGCTTACAGGATAAAACGATTCTAGAGTCCTGCTAGCGTTAAATATTGCCCAGCTCCTGACCGTCGACGCTTCTGCGGTATGTCTCTGATGTGAACGCGCGAGTCGGTGGCTGATGTTGTTCGCAAGGACGTGGCCCCCCTCACCCCGTTCATTGCTATAATGGTTTGTCCACATTTTCTTTTGTTCTCAGATCTCAGTACTCATGAGCTGGGTACGAAGCCCCTGGTGCTCATCAATCGCTTCATGATCAACCTACGTATAGCCGATACAGGGCACTCGGAGTCCTCTTTTGATAGCGACGGGGATCACAATTTGTCGACGCCGCAGTTCAGAGGGTCGACAAATACGAGTTTCTTGGGAAATATTGGTGAGACGCTGCAGGATGGCTGGGATGGCAGCTTCCAGGCGGACAGCTTGTCAGGAGGAGATGGCTCATATTCTGGCGAGAGCTACGCACTAAGAGGAAGGGCTGTGAGCACGGAGTAATGCCAGACTCATCTTAAACCATATCATTCTGTAACATATACCCTTGGATTGTGCTCTGATACCTGTTGTATATATCCCGTAGTATTTTTTCTTGCATGCAAACAGTCGTACGCTGTGAAGTCAACTGTAAGGATGCCGATCCAATCCAGAGCCGAGACCCAAGGTGTCAGGAAGGTGTGCCGGCTTTGACCATGTTGCTGGGTGGCGTGCGCATCGTCGCTAAAATACAGGATAAATACTGGCCGAGCACATGCGGCATGACCTGTTCGATGCGTCAGTTCCGCATGAATAAAGACAATTTCTGTCGCAATAAGCCCTACTAGTACGGGTAGTTACCTCGATATCAGCTTCCCTGAATAATGAACGTGCCCAGGCGAGCCGGTGCCTTGATAGGGCCGAAGCGGTAGCAGGGTGCGCAGTAGTGCAAGACCTAGCGAAAGAACGACCACATTTCGTTGTGCAGTCTTTTCGCGCTTTTCACTGTCGCAACTGCATCGAGAGGGCGAGCAGCAGATGGATTGGGCGATGGAAGCTGAGACTAATACGAAGGAAGACACCCCGAGAGACTCGCCGAGACACTGGCATTGCGCGACTGTAGCAATTCGACACTGTATGCTTCGAGTCTCCTGTTTGTGTAATTTACAAATGCTATATACTGTCTGCCTGAAACCGTGCACAGCCTCGTACGGTCTTCAGCATCGGTTCACACCTCCACGCTGTTCTCACGACTTCCTGCCTCATCCACTTCTGCGCGATCAATCTCTTCGCCGTGTGATCCGTTGTCGTCCCAACCAATCTGCAGCGTCCCCCCAATACTTCCCAGCCGATTCGTTGGTCTTCTGAACTGCAGTGTCAACTGTCCTTGCCGCCGATCAGTTGTACTATGAATAAAATAATCTGGCACTTCCGAGTCGATGGTCCGCAGGTTGATCATAAAGCGGTTTATGAGCACTGGAGGCTGCGTGACCAATTCATGAGCATAGTAAGGGCAAATTGGAAGCAAGGCACGCACCAGCGCCACGATTAGTCCATGGGCGCCAAGTCCTTAAGTAGAACATCAGCCACCCGCCCACATACTCGTATGGGAAATGTACCCCGGAGAAGTCGTCAGTCAGCAGTAGAATAATTTTCGCTGCTAGCAGAGTTCTATGTTGATATTAGTCGCCACCCGCGAGTAATCTTCTCGGATGGACAGCTTTGTTGCTGCACTCACATGAAATAGTTAGTTCCTGCATAGGCAGTTAGTTTCAGTAAAAAACGCCAGAAGGGCGCAAAAGACTGACCGTCACGGAGCAAATATGTTGTTAATGACGTCCTGGCATTGGTATCCTAGGCCAACCTCCAATTTCTAAATATCTTAATCCAGGTCAAGATGAGCACTGTCGTGTCAGCGAGGATAAGCGATCCGCGAGCAGTGTAAGTGACTATAAGCAGGTGGCGTCAATGCTTCCGACCTATCAGCGTTTTAGGCCAGCACACGTACGTCTGCTGGACAATAAGTGAGCATCCAGGACCAGAAAAGAGATATGTGTATACCCACATAGCCTCTGTCCGTGCCGAGAAGGGAACTAACAAGGTACATCCCGTGCCGAAAGCGGGGCTCACGAAGAACTGATACCTCGACATCGCCTCGTGAATCTAAGGAAGTGTCGGCTAGAGCATACGAGGGTTTGAAAGGAGGCGAAACGCACCAGGTTCGACACGAAAGGTACCATGCTCCATGCTCAATGCGAACACTATCAGTGACCAGATGTAGCTTCTATCCCAGATCGCGAATATTCGCAGAGCAGAGAAAATTGATGCATAAAGTAAGTCACTGTTTCGGACTGGAGCAAGCCGCGCAAGACGTACGTGCGGTCTGAATGAGTCCAGTGAAGAGGAATACAATGCTTAGGATATTAATTGGCGCGCAGCTGTGTGTCAGGCCCAAGTAAGCAGCCTATTTGTGCGCGAGCTTCGTTATATAGGACTTAATCCTGTAAGAAGCATCTATTTAGGTTTAGTCATTGGTCGATATTTAAAGCTTACTTTCGGGGTGTCCGGTATGAGCACAAAGACCGTTGAGAGAACCATGCACCATCTGACCGAATCAAGCAGCACAGCAGATGCAGTGACGGGTCTCTTCCATACAATGTTAATCTCATTAACGAAGGTGATCAGGAACTCGTAGACGACGAGACCTGAGGGAAAAATGCTGTAAGTAGCGCTATGGGAAGCGAGTAATGCACTTGCACGTCGCAGCCGCCGAGATGTGGTCGTCTGTCAGGAGTCTAGAAGACAAGCTGTGAACATTGGCCCGCAGAGTGTGGATAGAGGTGGTGCTTACTCGTGCCAGTAGAGTTGGGCGGAACCTTGGTTGGACTTCCCCGACATAATGAACGTTGGGGACGGAAAGAGGAGGCCTGTATCAACTTGAAGTGCAAACTTTCGCTCGCGCGGTTTATAAGCGGCATGTACATGGCCGGCCACCTATCAACACCATATACATTGCGTCTGTTAGGCAGTGTTAGGATTGACCCCATGGTCAATCGAAGGGTCAGTCGGTTGTTGCCGAGGTCAGATCAGATCAGACCAGTCGTACGGTTTACGCGATGGCGTCCCCGGTCTCGTGGCCTTCGAAGGTAACACAGTGTAAACAAGTTCTATTCCTTGCGAACTTAGACCAAATTGTACAGATTCAGCTCTTGTTTTAAGTTTCTCAGTCTACTGCGCCAGTAGAATTCTGTTTTCTCCGGTCTGTAGATGCATCCGGTAGTAAGCGAATAACCTTTGTAAGATACTGATATCACGAGAGTGGTAAGTGCTTGCTGAACGCGACGAGTCACAGGTGCTGCATCTGATGTTCGCGGAATGCTCTGCAACGGCGTCATCACTGAAGACCCTTGCTCAGACACGAGAGATAGCAGTAAAATAGAGAAAAATTAAACTATATCTCGTCGTTGAAGCTACATGTTGCTAGGGTCTCTCCAGGCACCACAGTCATCGATGGCGTCGAGCAGCTCTGGTTACCAATGGGTGCTTCGCCGGGGCGGCAAGTGACCGTCAGTTGACTTGGCCGGTCAGACACTTCTGACTCCCCCAACACTGGCGGAGATCAGCTTAAATATTGCCACTTGCAACTCGATGGAGGATTTTCTCATTGGGCTTGGTACGGTGTTAGTGGCTCTTCCGTACGAGTACATTTCTTGGCATTGCGCCTATAGCTATTCCAAACTCGATGCAGTAGGTCCGACACGCATACAAGGATAGAGAAGACAATAGTTGCATGGTGGTAGCTTACATGGGCCATTATGAATTCATGCGTGAGTCTCGCCGGTGGCGTTGTATTGGAGGATTAAGGGGAGCCTGGACCAGAAGCAGAGGCCAGCTGACAGACCTAAATAGAAGGAGGTCCTGTTCCAAACGAAGGCGGTGTTCAAGTAGGTCCGACAGAGTACCGAGCGGGTGGTTCTGATACATGGGGGATGTGGAAAAGTCAGGTTGATGCGCTGAGATTAGAGCGAGATGGCATCTTCTGTCCCGGACTTCGTTACTCTTCTCGAAACAAGTATGCCCCGCAAAGTCGATGGTATCGCACACCGGAGTATTACTGCGCGCAAGGCGGATCGCACACCCGACGACGGGGCGATACTGAATGACATCAGCGGCAAGGCGCGCTCCCTTGAATGGTGAACGAGTCGAGTTTGTCGTTGATGAGCTTGGCCTCGATCGTGTCGGGCGCGATGAGCGTCGCGAGGCCTGCATGTACCTGCATGCTGTTCGTGCATGTATTACCTAAGGATGCAGAGCATTTAGTCACCTTTGCTCAGTGGAGATTGGAACGATAGAAGCACCTGAACGCAGCTGATGGCCGTTTTTCTTCGTCAATCATTACAGCATTGATGTTCCATCCGTGGATGAGAGACTGCCAGCTTATACGTGCGCTGCGCCGCCTTGCACTGGTCGACGCCAGAGCCACGGACTCTTTCTGATAGATGTCAACCCGAAGCAGCCATTGATGCGCATCGACGGACTTCTCGTTGACCTGCTGTTCGAGCTGACTGTGAAGATGTCAAGTCCGTCGGTGTGCCGCGAAAGATGAAACAGACACAGACAGGTTGTACGTGATGCGTGCATGCTCTACTTTGGTACAACTCTTGGCGTCAGATTATGCTCTGCGCTTCGTGATCTCTCCGCGCGACGCTCCGTCCACTTCCACGGGCCATTCGCCTCCACAGGTCATTCTCTTCTTCCAGAGTGTCACCGTCATCCCAACCATTCTGCACCATCTCTCTAATGTTTCCCAGCCGATTCCGATTTACTGACCTTACCGCTGATCAGCAATGCGAACAGAGTAGCCTGGCATCTCCGAGCCGGCAGTCTGCAGGTTGCTCATGAAACGGTTGATGAGCACCAAGGGCTGCGTGGCGGGTTCGTGAACACCAAGGAGATGAGGGAGAAGTATAATACACACTAGGGACGAGATGAATGCGCCCACGGGCGGCGTTACCTTCAAAAATACGACATCAGCCATTGGTTCACGTGCTTGTGTCGAGAACGTACCGCGGTGGAGGCGTAGATCAGAAGCTGGATTAGAATAATCACTAGCGGCGCTCTATATTAGTTATGGTCCATTTGAAAACCACCCTTATGAACAGCTTTGTTGTCGCGCTCACATGAAATAGATGGTTCCTGCGTGGGCGGCTAGGTTTTAGAAGCGGCAAATGTGACAGTACATGGAGGATGACTGACCGTTACGGAGCAGACATGTCGTCAGAGACACCTGGACGTTGACGCTACGCGCCTGCCTCCAGTTTCCGAAAGTTTTGATCCAGGTCAGGGCGAGCACGATCGTGTCAGCAAGGATAAGTGAGCCGCGAGCGATACGTGACTGTGAGTAGATGACATCAGGATCGACGGCCTGTCAAAATGCGAGACCTCGACACGGCAAAAAAATGAGCATCGAAGGCCAGAAACAGCTACACGTGCACACTCACATGTTGTTCGTCTGCGTAGAGAATGGCAAATCTGTGATGCGCTGCACGTCGGAGAGCAGACCCACAGCGACAATGGACTTTGATATTATCGTGGCGATCTGCACAGAAGAATTATCTAGAGCATATGCGGGTGTGAGAGGAGACTGCACGCACCAGGCTGAGCACGGATGTTATCGTGCTCAGAGCGAACACGAGAAATGACCAGACATGGCTCCTATCCGAGATTGCGAAGACGCGCAGAGCGGAGAAGACTGATGTATAGAAGTCAGCGGGCGTTTCGGATTGGAGAAAGTTAGGCGAGGCGTACGTGCGGCTTCGATGAAACCAGTGAGGGCGAACGCCCCTGTCAGGATATCAATTGGTGCGTAGCTGCGTGTTAATTCTGATAGGCGATTTATTTGTGCAAGAGCTTCGGAAATACTGGACTTACCCCTGTAAGACATATCATCTACATCTGGTCTCCAACGATATTGAAGGCTTACTTTCGAATGCGTCGGTGCCAGTTGGAACGCCACTAAGAGAAGTATGCACTGTCTTACTGAGCCAAGCAGCACGGCAGATATAGTGGCAGGTTTCCCCCACACGATACAGATCTGACTGTGCCGACATAGCGAACGCAGGGGATGCAGAGGGGGGGAGGGGCAAGCTGTGTCGAGCGCAGGCTATTGTTCGCACTATGTATCAGCAGCTAAGCTGGCAATCTGTAAACAGAAGCATCGTGATTGACTCACAAATTGCAGTGCGCTCACTTGGAGGGAGTATCGGGAAAAGGAAATTCGCCCCATGAGAAGGGTGTCTCCCTGAGTTCATGAGGAATTAGTCTTTCCTCGTTAGGGCTGACTGTTGACAGAAAATTATCCATGGACCACTCAGTCCATAAGAAAAGCCATAAAACTTACTTTCTGCGATGACCATACTTACACCAATCATCTGAGGTTGATTCAGGTGTTTTTCGTGTGCACAGGCAGGGATAGCACGGCAGATACTGGGCTGGACACAACGAGGCGCCGGCAGACTCTCCTGCGCGTAAGGGTAATGACACCAGAGCAATGCCTGCGAACATAAGCCTATATGTCTCGTGTTATAATCACCACGCGTCATGCGCTGGCCGCCTTCCCTGGCTTCTTAAAGTGAGGGTGCCCTACGTCGTTCTCATCAGGTCATTTTCACGCGCCCGGACTTCGCCGGTCGGAGACTGCGTCGGACACGTAAAACAGATGTGCAGTCGTTGAATGGACTTTTTCAGGTTCCTCAGACGGAGTCGACGCGCAGGGATATGACCCCAAAAATGCGCCGCTTGGGTTCTGTCCGGTCCAAAATGACTGTTCTGGGGCGAGCACGATGGCCTCAAGTCTGCTATTTGAGGACGTCCCAAGCTCGGTTGAGCGCCTCGAGCGGACACGTCACCCTCAACCTCGACGAGTCAAACGAGAAAGTGAGCACCATCTGTCCTGATCGGTCTGTGGACACTGGCCTCTTGTATGGCGGCACGAAGAGACGGCCTTCACGAAACTGGTGGCTGACGTGTACGCATTCGTGCAGCTCTCCATAGCCAGGGTGGATACTACGCCCCCACACATCGCGGGCTATGTCGATGAGCAGAACGACCGGCTCGTGCACACGCCGCAGAGCGGACAGCCCAAGGCCAACCTCAGCTCGGTCCTGCTCGGAGACGGTCCGTCGCAATTCGAGGCAGTCATAGAGTACATGTGGTGAGGTGCGCCGTATTTTCTATCTGAGACCGAAGATGTGACGCACTGTGACCCTGGAGTGCTTGTGCAGGATAAATCCATGCGGCAAGTATCAGAACAACGCAGCGTTGTATTGCTATGCGGTTCCAGAGCTCTCGGCCAGTTATTGAATATTCGTTTTCTCTAGAAACGTGAGGACTAGCTGCTGTTGTCTCAGCGAGCGAAGAGAACACACGCGGCCTTCGAAAGACCTGCGACGAAAGTTGCGAGACATCAGCAGGCCCACGCTACACAGAGGTCATTGCCATTGCGGTTCGTCTGAACAAGGCGTCGACGAAGCGCTCCCTCGGTGTCAGCCAAGACCATAACCTCACGATTCTCACAAACACAGTCATACAGGAGCCGTGCTACCGCAAGTGCGAGGCGCTTGCTTCCGGCCGTACGCGGGAGACATCGACAGCAGCTGCAATCATATTATACGTCTGCTTCTGGCAGAATACGGCGACAACTCATACACCGGTTTTGCCTCAAGTCATCAAATGGTGGACGTGCTGAACTCGCTGCTGTGCCGCTGGTGCCCTGCGGATACCTACAGGGTGCTGCGCCGGTGAAGTTTGTCTAGCAGGCAATAACTAACTGTTGTTTGTGTGGATGTTTGAAGCATGGTGAGTTCAGCCGTGCTTTGTCGAAGTGCCGGTTCTGACTTGAGTCTTGCGTGCAGATACATGGCACTACTTGACCTGCCCGAAGAGACTCTGGCATGTAGCCCAAACGCCGTGCGCTTGGGCTACACGCCAGAGTTTACCTCCGTCTATGTGTCTCGCGGTACAGGATCTCCCGGCAAGTGGGTTGACAAGAAGGGCTTCTAAATGTGAGCGGCGGAGATCTTCATTCGCTCTGTACAAGTATGACATATTTTTGTTCAGTGCACAGTAGAAAAGAACCACGTTGAAATACACGCCACTAATCTCCGCTGACTCTGCAGGAGCTGCGCGTTGATGCATGAGGTGGGTTTTTCCGAACGCCACGGCCCTCTCGGTATTCGGCATAAGACGATCACCGTATTGTGGCGGGCTTGGAAGAAGCTGGCTTTCATGGACCATCGTGCGCTATTCTCACCAGCGGCGTAGTAGATTGCCTCTGAGCAAACATTAACGATAAATACCAGTCTTAGGTAGCATCCACAGCATTTTGAAAAATGCCGGAGATCTTTCCTGAGTCGATCAAGTTTCCTACACTTTCTGTTTGCATCCTATCTGCATTAGCCCCGGACGCTGTCCGCAGTAGTGGCATCATGATAGTGTTGGCGAAAGGAGCACTAACTGTGCTCTCGAAGGCCTTCTCTAGTACCCGCCTGAACCACCTCTCCTTCTAGACCACAGCCATTCGATCCCATGCCTGATCTGCGCGCGCTGTCTCTAGGTCTTCGTCATTTGCATGCTGCTCATTGCGGACGTCCTACAGCGTCTCATTTTGCTGCATGACTCCCTCGACATAAGAAGCTAGGGCCTGTTGGACGTGATGCAGCTTGAATAGCATGCGGTGCAGCATGGCGTCGCCTTGATCGTATAATTTCCAAACACCGCTATCTGACTGCCTCACCGGAACAACTTCGCTTACCATCTGGTGCAACCGTCGGCGTTGATTTATGCCTCTGCACTGATTTCGTTACATCCCACTTTGTCTATTGCTGCGGGCCCATGCTCTTCGTGGGTTTGTCGTCCTCCCAGCCATTTTGCAGCGTCTCCCTAATATTGCCCAGCCGGTTCGTAGGTACACTGTCGACTACCTTTACTGCCGATCGGTAATGCGCGCGGCAGAGGCCGCAGAGCATGAATCTGGAACCTCTAAGTTGACAGCGCATAGGCTGATCGTGAAGTAGCTGATGAGCACGGAGCCGCGAACTGCGTGGCCATTTCATGAACATTGATACTGGTACTGAACATTGAACGAGCAAAGCTGAAGTGGGGTACATACTAGAACCCGGGTAAACGCGTGTGGCATCATAAGCGTCATGCCTCTGGGTACGGCCACCGGCCCACGTGCTCTCCAAATATTTATGCTTGCCTGGCGCTGTGCTTCTACAACAGTGCATTAATCGTGTCCCAGGAACAAATCTCGATAACACACGTCAACATTGTGCGGCATGCACAGCACACTGAATAACTTAGACCTCTTCAAAGTGCCTCAAACCTCCTTCGCTGCCTGTTTGCATCTTTCGTGATTTGTTCGGTGACCTTGTGCGTATTACCCCGCTTATGCCGTGAGTATGCAATCTAGGCTTCTATATCCATCAGTCTTGGACGCTGTCTACAGTATCAGCATCACGATGGTGTTGGCAAAGGTGGGGCACGAAACTTGTTCTCAAGGGACTTCTTTGCCTGTTTGACCTGCTTCTCCTTCTGCATCGTGATCACAGCCGTCCGAGGCCGTGCATATTCCGCCGTCGTTCACACGTTGCCCATCATGGCCGCCCGCCGACAGAGCCTCAATCTCTTGTGAGACCCGTTGAGGCACAGTTAATGCTGTAAGAGACATTCGTGAATCGTCGACACGAATTATTGCATAGAAATAGCTCACCCTGCTAAGTCAAATATTGTAGCAAAAACCGTGCATAACATCAGCCAACGTGAGGTCAGCAGCAGCAGAGCTGTCACGGTCATTTTTCTCCTCCATATACAGTTGATCTCTTCGGGTAGAGTGACAATATATTCATATAATAGTAGGGCTGTGGCGGAAATATGCTCCTGTTCAGTAATCTCCATGAGGGCACAGCCCTGTTACTTACCGGCGGCGGCAACCTCAGCAAGGTCCCTAAATATCAAGTGCCAGTCCGAGTCATGAGTGGGGGCCTTACCAGAAAATGTCGAAAATTGCATACGAGAGGTGGAGAGGTCCGGATGCTTGAACGACATCCGACATATCTATAGTGGGAATTAGACGTCCGAGTCTTGTTTTGTTGTGGGGGTGGAATATTCAATAACTTGGGGAATGACAGTGCCATCTGGTCTCACCGGAATAGCTGTTAAATAGGTTGCAAGGGCATACAACTGTTAAAACGAACAGTCCAACGGGAATACTAGTACTGTATCATGACTCCGCAGAACAATCTTAATGATCCGCTGCGGCGCTCTTGAGTGGAGTCGACATGGTCAAGTCATGATGAAGGTTGCAGTGTCCTAGCATGGTTATCCTAACTGCAATTTCTTACTTTCCGGTGACATGTAAGTTCTGCCCATACTTTGAATTTTCTTGTAGTACTTTATTCTATCTTTCGGCTAAAGCTTCCACTCAGTGTCTTTTGCCCTCAGAGTTTTCGCGTTATGGCCGGATAAACGCGCTCTGGCTGGAGTAGTGTTTACGCTGGGGCTGGCCCCTGTGATCACCAATGGAGTAAGTTATGCTATGACGTCTGCCGCACCGCCGTTAACATAGGCTATAGATTCGTCCCTCTGTATTTATTTATAGTGACTCGTATATAGGAGGATATGGGTTGGGCTGCTACTTCTTACTCAAGCCCTCTGAAGTTGACAATTACCACCTGGATTACACCATGTAAGTAGCCGCGTAAGCCACCGAATACTCCAGAGACAATTGATTACTATCATGCCTTAGATGTGAGCTGCAACCACAGCTGATGCAGCATTACGACTACTAATTCATGTCACTGCTCTACCAGGTGACTTCGTAGCTCAGGGAGCAATGCTCACTCAGGAAATTTTGGTCATAGGCTTGACCTGGGCTAGGACCTATCGACAATGGAGAGAAGCTCAGCATATAGGGGTACCAGTAAGCATAACGACGTGTATCCTCCGTGATGGTAGGTCTTATGGAATCAAGCTCCCACTTCGCCTACTAACATTGCTCACCATAGGTACAACATATTTTGTGTATGTGCTATCCTTTTTTTTTTCTTTTCCACACGAGAAGGCTACTTACTTTCAATTTCAAGCATCATGCTCGTTTTGAATGTAACCCAGATGGCGATCTTCTCTGTGCGTTCTTTGTAGATAATGCGCACCCTGTTGACGCTGAAATATCTCCACAGCCTTCGAAAGGAGAAATTATTGGTGGCATCATGAATACTATGGTAAGTCATCTCCTTCACAATGTGGCAAAAATGTTCCCCTTACTAAGCCGTGCAGCCGCTTGTTCTTACCTCCCGGTTTATACTCAATCTCCGACAACTGAGCGAGCCTTCAGAGGAGCGTTCTTTTCGTCAGCCCTGGTCATCCTCTATATTCAGAGTCAGCCCCGGTACCTTGGGAAACATCTCTGAGCCTCTCGATCTTGGTGAATACAATGCATACGAGGATAATGATGGCGAAGCTGCATCAGAAGGGGTGGAGAATGTGAACTGCATCAAAGAGGTGCGCGTTACTTGCATCGCTTGGTGCAGGATGCCTATGTTGATATTTTTCTAAGGTTGCGAAGACAGATGATACAAATCATCCGGTCCCAGCCGAATCTGCTGCATGATGCCACAGATTTATTCAAAGTTGTTTCGAATATGTCCATGGGCGGCCAAGAAAATTTGGCTGAATTGCGTCTCGCCGCTGGATGGCAGCCGCAGACTTCGGCTTTATTGTACTGCGTAAAATTTCATTGACCGTCCCTGTGGCAGTTCTTTCGCTGTTATGCAGAATCCATGCTCTAGATTAATTCTTATTAAGCTTCCGGAGATTGGACATCAGCTTGTCACGGACACGCTGCAAGCCCTGTACGTCCTTCCCTTTCCACTTCTTGCCGCCCTCCTGTGTGCCCCTACCTCAGGTCTAAGGTCGGTATGGCGGCCGGTTAGTACACCTGCTTAGCCTTGCTCGGCAAGCGGAGCGCCAAGCCGCGCTGCGTGTGGCCTAAGGGAAACAGGGGAGGAAACAGGAGGCGCGCGAGCACTCGGAAATGGTGTATGAGGCAGCCACGAAACATTGATCGAAAGGCTGTGTGGAGGTGCGCGAAGACGCGCGAATAATGTGCAAAAATGCGCGAAAAGGTGTATAGTAAAGTAGGATGTGAAGCCGTGGTCGGCGGGCAAGTAGGAAACGAGGGAGAGAACGCCGGACGCGGGCGCAGACACAGACGCAGTTAGGGTGAGCAGGGAGTCATCGCGAGTCTCGGATTGCTCGATGTAGGCTACAAGTACAGGGGAGATATATACAGCGGTGCTAAGGGAACTAAAAATCACCTAGAAAATGACTAAAAATCCCTCGCCGCGCCACGTCAGTCTCGGGAAAGTGTCTGTGAAGCCAAGCCTTGCGTCCAATGCAGGCGATGCATTGTACTTGCTAGCGAGCACGTTGCGCGATGGGTATACTAGGCGGCGGCTCGCTCACTACGCTTGCTTCTTTTTGCGAATGTACTTGTCGGGATCGCGCGAGGCGGTAGCGGTCGGTAATTGCGCTTGCGCGGGCAATTCAGATCGTGGCGGGAACGTGCTCGAGTGCGGGATTAGGTGGTCGCGCAGAACGGCGGTACGCAAAATTACACGTGCAGGACGCGGCGGGGCGCGTCAGCGAACATGATGGGGTCAGGTATGTCGTTCGAACACAATCTATTCGGCCTAGCCCAATGCCACTTGAGTTTAGAGCGCATGGGGACGAGACCAAAGGCTTTGAATGAGGCCCCGAGGGTTATGTCTAAGCGTGGGGATGGGCCAAATAAGATGTAGAAGATCAGGAGAAGGGGCTTGGCGAAGCACGACGCAACCGGAATTATCAAATAATATTGACTTCGAATTTCTTGACCGTATAATGTTTCAATATCGCCATCTATCTGACACACTGAACAACACGTACTTTGATACAGCCGTCAGCATCGGTTCATGCCTCTGAATTGATCTCATCACGTCTCGCATCGTCCGTTGCTGCTGAGCTGCTCTCCTCTTCCATAGGTTCATCGTTGTCCCAGCCACTCTGCAACGTCTCCCCAATATTGCCTAGCGGATTCGCTGTCCTTCTGAACTGCAAAGTAGACTGCCTTTGCTCTCTATCAGCGGTACGCGCGGAGCAGCCCGGCACCTCTGAATTGGCGGTGCGTGGGTTGATCATGAAGCAGCTGATGAGCACCGGGGGCTGCGTGGCCAGTTGATAAGCATCGAACGAGCGAAGGGAACTAGATGCATACCAGGACCTGGATAAACGCGTTCATGAGCGTTAGGTCCTTAAGTACGACGTCAGACATCGGTCTACGCACTTATCGTGGGGACGCACCGCAGAGAGGTCGAAGGTCAACAGCTGTACCATGTTCGTTGCTTACAAGGCTCTATAGCCATTTCCGCCTGTGAGCGATTCCTCGGATGGACGGCTCTTTCGACATACTCACACAAAGTAGATAGTCCCTGTGTGGGCAGCTAGTCTTCAGAGAGACGAACTTTCAGATGACAGGCGGCCAGAGACCATGCTCAAGCTCGGAACATGTCCTTCCAAGATTGGAGATAATGGGAGATGATCTTGAGACCTCTTGCGGCTTGCTTGGCGAGGCCTGAGGTCGCGATATTCCACTTCGTCGAGCATGGCTCGCACTATAGACCCGCCGCCGCCGGAGCATTTATGGGCGGCTATATCTTTGGCGCATGGCGCCCATTCTTCCAAAATTGAGCGGGGAGTCGGGCCGTTTTCCGCCAGGGCTATGATCCGCCGCGCTCAGCTTGATGCGCCTGACTGCTGAGCGCTGAGCGACGCCAAGGAATTTAGGCACGATCCTATGGAAGAGGTTTCCCGCGCAATGCACTTTTGTTGTACTGAGTGGTTGTCTTGCATGATGGCCACATACCTCTTGTCTGCACGCTTCCAGGCGCGAAGAACATGCCTACAAACGAATTCGCTGACTCGTGTTATGAATGGGAGCACATGTACCCTCACTGATCGTGGCACCTCGCGGGGCAGCCGGTCCGCCGCTCTGTCGAGTCCGACGGACGCTACAAAAGCTCTAGCCCCTAGGGACCGCATGTCCAGCAACCTTTGAATCTCTCCAGCCATGGCCGACCAACCCAGAATCAAGCTTAACAACGGTGTTGAGATCCCGGCTGTCGGCCTTGGTAGGTCGTTAAAGCGAGCAATACTCTGACATGCGTAATTAACTGACTGGTTCGCTTTGTGAAGGCACATGGCAGTCCAAGCCCGACGAGGTCACGAATGCTGTAGAGTATGCTTTGAAGGAGGCTGGCTACAGACATCTCGATTGCGCTTGGTGAATACCCTAGCCTCATCGTGCATTACTAGAATACTCACTCGGCACCTCTAGGTCATACGGAAACGAGAAGGAAGTTGGTGAAGGCATACGTCGCTCTGGCGTACCCCGTGAAGAGATCTTCGTGCGTGATCCTGCGTATACTCGAAGGCCCTGAGAACAGACAGGTTGACCGAGCTGTTAGATCACAAGCAAGATCTGGGCTACGCGCATTCGCGAGGTCGAAAAGGCCCTTGACGAGTCGCTCGCCAACTTAGGCGTGGATTGTCTCGACTGTACGTTCACGATAGGCGTCTATTCTTGTCGTACGCACTGATTCTCATCCTTGTAATCCCAAAGTGTTCTTGATCCATTGGCCTGTCCACCTCAACCCCAAGGGAAACCACCCTAACTTCCCTACTAGACCGGATGGTACTCGTGACGTGGTTGAGGACTGGCACATCAAGGAGACGTGGGCGCAAATGGAGACCGTCTTGAAAAAAGGTGAGCTAATGCACGCCTGTCTCTCTTCGCTACTCAAAGTGCGTTATAGGCAAAGTCCGTGCAATTGGGGTATCGAACTGCTCAGAGAAGGTACTTGAGCAGCTCCTTCCTCACGCCACAGTCGTTCCGGCTGTCGACCAGCTCGAGATCAACCTATACAACCCGGATCACGAGCTGTGCAGTTACCTCAGTTCGAAGGGCATCATCCCGCAGGCGTATTGTCCGCTCGGCTCGACCGGCTCGCCGCTTTTGCAGGATGAGACAGCGGCTGCGATTGCGCAGAAGCACGGTCTGCAGACTGCAGATGTTCTCCTCGGCTACATTGGCACGTCATCGTGTGTTTATCCTTTCGTATCCCGCGCTCAATCTGTATGCAGTCGCCAAGGGCTACGTCGTCCTGCCAAAGTCCGTAACACCGGCGCGCATTGCTGCGAATTTCAAGGGCACGATCGCGGCATACAAGATGCTGACGAAGGAAGACATCGAGCAGCTCGACGGGCTCGCTTCTACCGGCAAGCAGAAGCGATTCAACATGCCGCCATGGCGTAAGTGTCTTTGTTAGTATCCTGCAAGCTCATTGACAGACCCATGCTTTTCCAGCTGTCGATTTGGGCTTCAGAAACTGGCCGGGTCACAATGCTTTGGTCTTGTAGAGACAAAGAACGAGCTACAGCGCACCTGTATAGTCGAAGTGTATTATTACCTCTTGATCGACGTGAGGGGACAACGAGAGCGTGGCTTGTAGCAAATAATAGGAGATAGGTCGTATTTTACACGATCTCTGACATTACAAAGGTTTCTGGAACTATCAACCGACACAGAATACAATGGGGTAGGGGTGGAGGATATCATTGGTGTCTCATCTACTCGTCGTACTGCGTGAGCTGCAACAGTATACCTCGTCGGTCAGCCTTCTCAAGCAGAAAAACGCGACTGGCACTCACATCTAGCGTAAGCGTCCGTGAACTGTTCACGTCCTGATCGCGGTAGATGCCCACAAGTGAGTTACTACGCTCGTACAGCGAGCCTTTGAGGCTGATAACGATGAACTGGAACGATTCGGACGCGTGCGCGCGGATGTAGTTCGCGATTTTGGCCACATTCGTGTTGTCTAGCGCCGCATCGACCTCGTCGAGCACGAAGAACGGCGCCGGTTGGTAACTGTGGATTGCGAAGAGCAACGCTAGCGCCGCGATCGTCTTCTCACCGCCGGATAGCTGCTCCATGTCGCGGAAGCGCTTCATGGGAGGCATCGCGTGATATTTGATGCCGGCAATATATGGTTCCTAGAGTGGGATCCATGTAGGGAATTATATGGGACTATGGAATGTGCTACGCACCTCGCTATCCTCCAAGCTCAGGTACGCCACGCCACCCATAGGCGCAGCCTTGCCTTTGGTAAGGTCCTTGTAGACTTGATCGATACGCTCAGAAATGTGGTTGTATGCTGCGTTGAACATGTTGCATCTGTGGAATTCCGTATTACCTTACTACCACGGACTACTGGACAATGCATACCGTTTCTTCTTGATTTCGTTGAAACCATCTCGAGCTGCCTTGGACTCCTTGCGAGCCTTTTCAGCTTCCTTCTCCGTCTCGAGGAGCTTATTTTCGACGTCATCAAGCCTAGTAGGGATGTCAGCCGCGGATATGAACAACTCAGTATTGATACCCACCGCTCCAGTGCCTTCAGGTTAGGTGCCATCTTCTCAATATCGGTGGACAGTTTCGCAATCTGCTCGTCCAGCTGCGCAAGCCGGTCTGCGGAGCCATCCTAAGAAGCACATGTCAGTAAATGTAACAAGAAGGTAAGGAAACAGAATGCTGACCTCAAGGTCCTCCTCATCCAATGACGAGAAGTCAATCTCGATACCGTAGTCGGGAACACTCTTGACGTGCTGGCTGCCCTCTTCGTCCTCGTCGACATCCATGGCGACTTCGTCACGAAGGTTCTGCGGTATTCTGTCAGCGGTGTGGGAAACTGAACGCGAAGACAGTACCTCTTCCATGGGGACGTTCTTTAGGTTACCCTCGATGAGCGGCAGCTTGATCTCTTCAAGACGGCATCTACGATAGATCGACGATCGTTCGAGACCAAGTTTCTCGATTTCGTCGTTCTATCAAACACGTCAGCGTCCCCCGCAAGGAAGTGTAAGAGCAGGCATACCTTAGTCGCAATCTCTTTGAGCACCTGGTCAAGAGCTTTCGCTGACTTCGCAGCCTTCTTCTTAACCTGCTCGACGACCTTATTCTTCTCGTCGAGGTCCTCGTTAAGTGTTTTGAGCTCCTCCTGAAGCACCGCAATCGCCTCGTCCGCTTCCTTCAGCTCTTCCTGTATGCGCTCCTTCGTCTCCTCGTGGGTCTGCAAATTCGCCTCCTCTGTTGCGATTGTCGCTTCGAGAGTCCTGAGCCGCTCCTCGGTCGTGCGAACTTGCTCCTCTTCGAACTCTGACTGGTGACCCAGTCGTGCGATTTGCGTGTCGTACTCTAGACGCGCCGCACTCTCCTCCTCTGCCGCCTTGAGCTGCTGCTCCTCAAACTCCCGAATGCTCTCGACGCCGATCTCATCGCAGAAAGATGCGAAGACCTCGGCTTCGGCTTCGTCGATTGTGGCCTTAAGGGCATTAATTTGTTCCTGCAACCGATCATGCTCGGTCTGGGCATCGCGCAGCTGGGGCTGTTCCTGACGGAGCTGGCCGTCGATGTGTTTGATCTCCTCTTTGATGCCGTTGAGCCGCAACTTGCACGCGCTCTGCACAGTATGGCTATGAGCAAACCAAGAACTGCAGACTAGACTGTTGAACTCACCAAGTCGTCCCTGGCAACAGCCAGTGCTGGCTCCAGCCGTGAAATCTCAGCAAGCAGATTGTCATCAGCCTTGCCTCGGGGCTTGTTCTTGTTAAGCTCCTGAAGATCGAACAGCAGCTTGTCGCGGACACGCTGCAGGCCCTGTACGTCTTTCTCTTCCCACTTCTTGCCATTCCCGTGTGTGCTCCTGCCTCCAGTCATGAGACCGCTCTTGTGTATGATAGTGCCCTCCAGAGTGACGGCTATGCAGTATCATCAGTCCTGTCGCCATCTCTCATGTCACATCCAGAACGCGGAACTGACCCTTGACTTCCTGACCCTTCTCGAAACAAACATGCCTTGCAATGTCAATGGTATCACACACCAGAGCGTTACCACACGCATGGTGGATCGCACGCTCAACAGCGGGGTCGTACTGAATGACATCAACAGCAAGACGCGCGCCCTTGGCAAACGAGCGGAACTTATCGTTGATGGGTTTGGCCTGGATGGTGTCGAGCGGGATAAAGGTCGCTTGGCCCGCACGCTGATTACGCATATACTAAGATCACGGAGTGTTTAGTTCTCTGCTCAGTGGAGAATGTAGCAGACAAAAGCACCTCGATGCAGTCAATGGCAGTCTTCTCTTCATCAACAACTACAGCATCAATATTCCGTCCGAGGACGGTAGAGACTGCCAGTTCATACTTGCGCTGCGTCGGTTTGCACAGGTCGACCACACGGCCACGCACGCCAGAGAAGATCCGCTGCAGGTTACCAAGAGTCTCCTTGAGCTTCGCTTCGCGCTCGGACTCTTTCTGGTCGACGCCCGCCTGAAGGAGCTGTTGATGCACATTGATGAGCTTCTCGTTGATCTCTTGTTCCAGCTGGCTAAGATGATTTCAAGTTTGTTGACGCGCTGCGGGGAGGTGAAGATGTAAAAATGAGGCGTACGTGATACGTGTGCGCTCAGCCTGCTGTTTCTCCAATTCGGTCCTCGCGTTCCGGAGCTGTTCATTCAATTCCTTGACTTTCTCTTCCAGCTGCGAATCTTAGTGAGCACATGTCGAGCTAACAAAGAATGGTGATTCACCTCAGATCTGCGTCTCTTGGCTGCCTCTTCGTCTTCGCCAAGTTTAGTCCTCTTCGTAGTCAGCTGCTCGATCTTGTCCTTGAGTTTAGCCAGGTTTCGTGCCGCAGTCTTCTCTTCTCTTGCTAACGTCTCAAGAGATTGCCGTTCTGCAACAGCAAGAACGCTAGCTTGTGCTTTTCTGTGTCATGCAAGGCGCATATATGCGCGTACCTTAGTACCAATACGAGGAAAAGGTCAGGAAAGGGCACATACAGCCTGCGATATTCCTCTAGTCTTTCCTCGCTCAACGCAAGGCTGTTTTGGCTTGTCCGGCGCTGCGCCTCTGTAACAGTGCAATCACGAATACGTCAGCCACAGAGCGAGCTTCAACGATGGACACCAACCTTGAGCGGCATCCGCAGCACCTTGAACAACCTGAAGATCTCTTCGAAGTTGCTCAAGCTTCCCTCGCTGCCTACCTGCATCCTTCCTCACTTGTTCCGTGATCTTGTGCGCGTTATCTCGTTTGCGCCTTGAGTGTGCAATCTGAGCCTCTACCTGCACCAACTCAGGATGCTGTTCACAGTATCAGCATCACGATATTGTTGACGAAAGTAGGTACGGGCCTTTCCCTCTAGGGCCTTCTCTGCCCGCTTGACCCGCTTCTCCTTCTGCATCACAACCGTCCGAGCCTGGGCTTGCTCTGTGCGCGCCGTCTCCAGCTCTTCGTTATTAGCACGCTGCCCATCGCGGAGGTCCGACAGAGTCTCATTTTGCCGCTTGATATCTTCAGCATGAGAAGCTAGGGCCTGTTGGATGTGATACAGCTTGAACAGGATGCGGTGCAGCATGGCATCGTCCTAATGAGGGCTCAGTGCTGTGGTCGTGTACATAGAACGCGCCCAAGTGAAACGTACTCGGTCTTGGCACAGGGCCTCGAATCTCTCTGCTTCTCCCTTTTGCTCCTTGTATTGCTTGATCTCCCCCGCAATGCCCCTCCGTTTCGTGAAGTTGAACGTCGCGTTCTCTGTGGCCCGCTCCTGTTCCTGTTTGGCCCGTTCATATTCCTGAGCGAGCTCCAGGGAGCCGCTGATTTGGTCAATGAGACGTGAGAGTTCCTTGGGCGACTGCGAAGCGACAGCCTCAACGTCTCCTTGGAAGACAAGGAAGTTCTTGGCTTTAACGAGGATGTTGAGAGCCACAAGTCTCTCGTTGTAGGAATTGTACGTGACGACCTTGTTGTTCAACCTGTATTCAGAGGCTCCAGTGGTCGAGATTCTGTGCATTGAGGTGAGATTCGACCGCTCAAACTAATCTCGCGGCAGCACTTACGTGCGCTGAAATTGCCATTCCTTTCCCCCAAAGTCCTGAATTACTGCGAGCACCCAGGCCTTCTTGGCTGATCCTTCGCCCTCACCCTCGCCCCCATCCTCGTCCTCCTGTGTAGCCTCGGACCCTGGTTCTCCCCCGTTTCTAGCTAGCCGTCGGCCGCGGTAGACGAGGTCTTTAAGTTGACTACTCCGTAGTTGCGCGCTCTTTACACCAAGCACAAAAGAGATAGCATCCATAAGATTCGACTTCCCTGCGCCGTTCGGGCCGATGACTGAGGTAAAATTGTGGAAGGGGCCGATGGTCTGGTGTCCTCTGTAACTCTCGTAGCATTGAGCGTTCAGACGGACGTTATTCAAGAATAAAATGCACCTATATGACTTAAAGTCGCATAATTCAATGCGTACAAGCGGCATTTCTGCTCGGCTTTTGCGCAGATAGGAATGACTGGTACTTGGGAAGTCGCTGGTTGCTGGTCAGACGCGAAAGAGTGAACAGCGTGACACGCGTATCGCGTATTGTCACGCGATCTCTGTTAAGAAAATGTGACCGTAACGGCTTGCCAGGTGCCGACCTCGAGCCCAGCCGTGTCGATTTCACTCAAATGCGCCGCGGCGGGTCGTTATTAGGCACTAAGGTTGTTTTACAGAGCCATGGTGCTGATCTCGTCGAATTCTCTCTCCTAGATGTTGCGTGTCCTTGCAGCCTATCTAACGACCACTCGGCTTCGCCAGCAAGCCGGCCAAGCCAAGCCAAGCCGGCAAGCCGCGGCTTCAGACAATAAACTTGCTGTATTCACTACTGCCGCTAAAGCAATCAGGGATAATTTTTTAAGATACTCTTCTGTACTGTATTCATCTTATAATACACATAGATTAATACATTGTCAATGAGACTGAGCCTTACCACGAAGGAAACATAGTGGAGATGCCAGCGCTTGCCCCACTTAACCGGCTGCAGTGTAACGTTGCGAGCCCCGACTTTTGTGCACCTGCCTGGAAGGGCAACGTCTTCCAATTTAACACGGCAGGATGAGTGTCAGAGGTCTCTAGCTGCCTGACAGCCGCCTCTCCCCTGGGCACCCTTGACCGCCACCGCGCGCGGGCCGTGTCATGCCGCCCGGCTCTGCCTCTGCCGCGTCGTGCGGACGTGGCGGCGCATTCTGAGGTCGCACTTGCAGCAGGCCAATAGACATCAACAAGAGCCGTCATCGCCGACGTTCCGACGGACGACGCCGGGACATCGCCGATGACCATCCTTGCGGGCGCCAGACAAAAGTCAGCCATTACGAGGGAGCAAATGATCCAGGGCTGCCAAGGCCAGTCACTCCTGTCAGTCATCAAGTGGCCGCTGCGACCTTCGTGCGCTTTTTCGAGCGGCAAACGCCACCAGGTAGCATAATGGCGTCTGTAGGTCGCCCGCGTCGAGGTGCTGCACGACGTGCACGCCGGCGGATAAGCCCTCATATAGGCTGCCAGACATGAGGTGGCTTATCTGGGTGCAGCCGCTCGAGGGCGCGCGCGGAACATCGTGCTGCACCTCCTGTGACTCGCTGGCACTCCTGACACTCCTGACCGTGACAGGTGCCCGCCGCGTCGTGTCAGCTTCCGCTGTCCGCCACTCGCGCACGCACCGTCCTCGCGCATTTTATTTGGCGCATCCTCTCTTTTGTATGAAGTTGGTGTTTCTGAACAGCTTTATTGACATTCTGCATCTAAATTATACCACAGAACAGTGACAGATTATGTGTTTAGATATTATACTATGCAAGGAATCTATTTACATGCTGTACATGCTCATGTATCTACACTGAGCGTCAAAAGTAAATGAACACCCACTTGACATTCTTGTTCTCCGCGACCCCTGAGTTTTAAATGCCAGAAATATTTGTGCGAGGTGTATCATATATAAGAACGCTAAATATAAAATTTTGAAAGCTATAAGCAGATTGCAAGAATGTTATGAAAGGATGACATCTCAACTCACACTCAAGCTGGCACTTTTGATGGAAGTTTGGCTATGCTCTGCCAAAATACCATGGCCTATGCACCCAAATTTTTTTGTAGAATGCTTCACCCCTTGCTCCTAGTAACCAGGGCTATTCATAAGGAGATGATCCCTGGAGCTTTCCAGCTAATAATGGATCTTGGCAGTATTCTTCCTCTCACATTGCCTTCCACTACTGACTCTTGGCTAGAGACTGAAGGTCCCT